TACTTTAAAGACCCTATATTACGCAACATATACTACGCAACCCTGACTCTCGTGAGTTTTAAACCATGTTATAATCAAAACATATCTGAAGATGTGTTTTGCTTCATTCACACATGTTTGAGTAACCCTTTTATTATTATTAGTCTCCAAAGCTCAAAATGCTCTATTCCACCTTAATTTAACAGCTCCTTTTACCTTTTTGTTCTGTAGGAATTAGCAATTTCAGGGCTGAGATTATCCAAGTTTTCATAGTGAAGGTGAGGTGTATGCAGTTTAAAAACACAGTGGAGCACTTCCTGTATTACCATATGACATCATAAGGTGGAACAGAGTGTTTTCTGTTTGAGAGAAGAACTTAGCCTAAATATGCATGATGTGTGTGTTAAACGAATGAAACAAAACACAACTCCAGGTATGTTTTGATCAGAAAGTTCTTATCGTGCTTGAGCCTGCTATATAGTTAAAATGTACAACACCCTTGGATCATTATGTTATTTACACATTTTAATGCAATAGTCATCTAAAACAATTTAATTAAAGAAATAGTCCACAGACGGAACAGACCAATGGAAGCTGACGTTGTCTTAAACATCATCACGAACAGAGTCAGTGTTATGGATTTGTTGGGGAGGTGTGTAAATGGTTCATATCGCACACGCCACAGAAAGCCACCTTCTGCAGACCTGTCCCACGGCCTCTCTCTAAATAAAATGTAAACTTGATTTGATTTTATTCAGATTCCCATTAGCTGATGTCAGTGACTCCAGCTACTCTTCCTGGGGTCCATATTTAACACAGAACAACAACAAATAAAACACTTACAAACAAAACAGTTACATAAAAACACAAAAAAACGCTTCCTTTCCTCCCTGTTTGAAGTGGAGATGTGGATTTATGTACTTGTCTGCACTAAAGGAAAGCAGTGAGAGGTTTGTCTATCTGCAACCCACGGCAAGTATTTCATGTCTCCATTGAAGTCAACGCAAACGTTTAGAGCAGCGAGCACTTATCGCTACATTCATGCTCAAGCACGCTGACATGCCTGCTTTGCCTCATATGTACCTCTGTGATGATTCAATAATGTGAAATGCACTCAAAAGCAACATGGAAACTGCATTTTAAACAAAATATTAGGTTTATTAAAGCTGGGTTCTTGCATCGCCCCATGTTGACATATCACCACCAACAGACCGGCAACTCAATGGAAAGCTGCACATCGCACAAGCGAGCAGCAGATTTTTTTTCATTCTTACCAAAATGACTATGCTACTCTGTTGAACGCTGTATGTATCACTGACTGAGAAAATAAAATTGTAGAACGAAGTTAGTACAAAGCAGTGGGCGTGTGCCGGTGGTGGTGAACAATATCCTGATTAATTAGCAGGTTTCACTTCGTGGAAACTGTCTGACTTCGCAACATTAGGATTTGTTCGCTCGAAGGTAGGCGGGTACTTTTTTTTATCTAACCAATTGCTGCTGTTTGGTCATGACGTATGTAATGCACCAAACCCCGTAGGAAGAAGGGCAATAACGTCTTTCCCCATTGATAAAATTCACCAAACATTCTCTTTATTCCGGCTTTAAATCCTCAATCTCGGGAATTGTTGCCAAAACAGAATGTATGTCTTCGTGTACGTCCATCTCGACCGCTTTGTTTACTTTTGTGCTGTACCACAAAAGGGACCCAGTCAGGCACTTGAGTTTGACGTCATGGGTTCACAGCTTTTCAGTGATTGGCTGGTGAGTGGTCTACAACTTCCTTGCAAACTGTCTAGTGCAGGGGTGTCAAACTCATTTTGGTCTGGGCGCCGTATCCAACCTACTTTTATTCCAAAGGGGCTGGATCAGAAAACTTATGGCATATATACCCCAAAACTAGCAATAAGTTCAAATATTTGTGCAGAGAAACGCAAATCTATTACAGAAATCTTTTTTAATTGATGAACTCTTTCTTTTACAAAATATTTTAATATTATGAACAACCTGAAACCTGAAACACAATGTTTTAACATGAACTTGTATGCAAATAGGAATAAGTCAATTTTTCTTGGAAAATCCTGCACTCGGCTCCACTTTTCTTATTTTTGATGTTTTGCTGATGAGGGTGTCACGGTCAACAAGCAAAACGATCGTCCTTTAAGAGCGTTTGGAAAGAGGCAAGTCTTCATTTGTGCTGCTCTGGTGGGAGGCACACAGAGGAGCTGGAGACGCTGCTATGCTAAGCGGTGCAGAAAATGACCAATATTTTAGTAGAAAATATAATAAATATAATATTTTAGTAGAAAATCAGCTAAGGGCCAGATTAAAGGTCTTGGAGGGCGGCTCCCGGGCCATATGTTTGACACCGCTGGTCTAGTGTATTCTGATTCCTGACCTAGTCGCTGGAGAGAAATGAAATTTAGCGGAGGCAGTAGGTGGTGCCAGCCTGGCTAGGTGAACACAGGGCATGATCGTCAGTGTGTCTTGAAAATAAGTGATTAAAGATTACTCAAACACCATCAATCATTCCAGATACAACTCTGAAATGGTAAATGAGAAGGAAACAGCTATAACCTAAATAAAACCTCTGAAAAGTCGATTTGGCATAATAAGTGTCCTGTAAACATTATCTTTGTAGAAGACATTCAAACTTGGGTTTACAGTCTGTTGTCCGATCTTAAATGTTAAAGCCCCAAACTACTCATTCGAAGACATTTTAATATAACCAAAATGACAAAAATATAGAGACAAGTTGCTTTTATTTTTATTAAAAGAAATGTACAAACTGACCAAAATGAAAACATCCTTGACTCATGACAAAAGAAACAAAAAAAATGCAGCTAATCCTACTGTACATTAATACCGAACAAAAAATAACACCAGATTTCACTTTTATTAGGCAAAAATAAATATTCATAAGAACAATATCAAATGTAACAAAAACGCTTGGAGCTAAACATTCCTAACAAAGTTCATTTGATGCAATAGTTGAGGAGATTTAAGGCAAGTCTTTGGTAGAAAAGGTAACAATAAAACGCATGGAAAATACACTTTTTACAAATAAGACCACCAGCCTGCGAAATCAAAATAGCAAAAATGCAACTGAGTACAAGTGCAACAACAAATTACATAAATATAAAACACAAAATGCAAAAATAAAACACAAAAAATGACAATTCACTAAAATAACAAGCAGATAAAACAATGTACAAAATGTAGAAAACACATTTGTGCAATATGCTGTTGGTTTTTGCACCTCTGTTTTTACAGATTTTTTGTGAGCTCATTTGTTTTATTGTGAAGATTGTATTTCATTTTAATTTTGTGTACATAGGTTTTGTTTTATTTATTTTTTCAGTATTTTTTATTATTGTAAAAAGTATCAGGCTTGTGTTTTTGTGTTACTTCAACATTTTAAATAAGTTCAATTGATGTTCCAATCACTTTACAATTAGTATAAATAAAGCAAAAAAAAAAAAAAAAAAAAAAAAGTATAAAAAATATGTGTATTTTCCATGATTGTGGTGTTATGCTATTTCTTTTAGGCTCGTTTTATTTATTATTTTTTTTTTACTTTAACATAAGGGTGCCCAAAATAAGGCAAATTTTTGTACTTTTTTACAAAACATTTGTATAAATTCTACCATAATACAACTGCAATGTGACAGACCTGACATTAATGTTTTAAGACTTATTGATACTAAGGCTCAGTCAGACCTTTGTCAAAGTCAGTTTATCAATCAACATGTGAAATCTTGAAAAATATTAGTTTTGTATTGTGTTGATTTTATTGGGAAGCACTTTGGTCACCTTATGTGTTAAGATTGACTGATTGATATATTTGGGGCTCAATATTTATCGTGTGTACATTTTCTTTGTAAAAGTGGGGAGACTTTGTGGATTTTTGTTGTAATAAAATAACTTTTGAGCTGTAAAATATCTATGGTTACCGTATTTTTCAGACTATAAGAAACACTTAAAATCCTTTAATTTTGCGCCTTAAAATCTGGTGCGCCTTATGTATTAATTCTGGTTGTGTTTACTGACCGATTTTATGTGTTAGACGGCACTCAAAACTCAAAATATCAAAATGTTTTAGTACGACTTTGGTAAGCTACGAAGCTGAACCGCTTGATGGATTACTGAAGCATTAAGGCAACTGTAGTCAGGAGCCTCATGGAGTCCGACAGAAGATGATGGCATCAGCGCACAAGGAGCGAGCTGTTTTTTTCAGCGATTATAGTTTATGCAAATTAGCCATGTGGTTTTAAGTTTCATTTTTGTAAAATGTAAACAAATGTGTGCAAAGCTGCATCAAACACATTATTACTCAATGTATATTTGAGTCCTCTTTGTAGGAAATTAAAAAAACATACTTAAATGATCCACCTACATTCACATTCATAATACACATTCACCTTATAATCCGGTGCACCTTATGTATGAAAATAGACGAGATAATTCAAAAACGTATTAATATTGTGCCTTATAGTCCAAAAAATACGGTAAATACTGACCAATAATAGTTAGGCTAATTCTTTTGCAGCTCAGGCCTTTTAACAATACTGTCAATTTAAAAATGATTTACTGCTTAGCAACCATTTCAGTCATTCATTTTATCATCCACTAGTCTTGGGTCCTCGGTGAAAAAGTCTGAACATCCCCACTCTAATCCATTAATTCTCCTTGTGATTCCAGTCCACTGTCCAGAGGTGAGACTGCCGATGAAAACATATCGGATAATGCCAGAGAAGCAGAGGCCAAACACAGCAGCTCAGTTCAGATAGAAAAAAAAAAACATACAAAAAAGCTCCCGTTTTCTCACACTGGTCACTTACACTACACCTCAATACGCATAGATAAAAACATCCTCCTCCAGTGAAATTCTCAGTCTATGTACAACCCCGTGTCTCCATTAGTATTCCGCAGCAGTCAAGTCAATTCCAACCGATTTATTAGATTGGGCCATGTTCTGCCTCTTCATCCAATTAGGGAGCGGACAACTGGCTGGAGGGGGAGTCCTGTTATCCCGCTGCTGGAGGGGGGAGGCCGGGGAAGGAGCGGGAGGACCTGGGGGAGTGTCAGTCTGAATCGTCCGTACACTCACACACGCACTCCTCGTGATGCTCCAGAGCCACGTCGGTCATGGACTTCTGCAGACCCCGGACCCCGCTGCGGTGTTTGAGTAAGAGGACCTAAGAGAAGGAAGGAGACTGGTTTTAGGCAATACATAATGGCCATGTTTACATGATGTTTTTAAATTCTGAATTCTTTGTTTGGAATAAAAATATTCTCCTTCGATTTTACATGGAAATAATAATTCTGAATTGAGGTTCACATGGAAAACACGTTAAATCACCTTTATTTAATTCCGCTCAAGGTCTGATGAACGGGAAGGGTTGTGATTGGACAGGGGCATGAATGTATTTACATCTACTGGAAGAAAACACACACTTCAGCTGCTACCGGCTTTTTTGTCATCTCGGTTTGTTGTTATGCCACAGACACAAACATGATCCAAACTTTTTCTGCAGTGATTCCGATGAAAATGAAGAAGCAGCTCGAGAGTTCTCTCATTATGCTTTACGTCTGTCAGCTGAGGAGGAGAAGGGATTTAGAAGACAAACTGCTCTACCTCAGCCCACTCCCACATCCCGCTCGTAAATCCAAAGAACAGTGGATGAAAGTCTGAAGCGAGGACTGGTGGAGTCAGATCACGTCAGAGCAATTTGACTTTTAACTGTTATGGTTAATATTTCACCTCTCCATATGAAATCATGACTGACAGAAAGTTCAGAGTATCCTGTGACAGCACAAATTAACTAATGTGAAACATTTTGTAATCACTTTATAACAACTACTCTTTAATTAGCCTTAATAAAGCAAGGGCAAGGGGAAAGACTTAATGAAACAATTGTTTCTTAAGAATGACTCAAACTAGTAAATCTGAATAATTTGTTCATTCAAGATAAAATAGAGGTTCATCATTTATAATTTGTTTATTTCTTTCAAGAGCAGGTAAAAGTTCTCTCCATATTTTTCTGCACCTGAAATGATCACATTATATTCTAGACCGCTGTGTGCACAAACTCTTTTCTACGCTAAAAATAAGTTTAGGAAACTACATACAGAAGATAACAGCCAAGAATCAGTATCAAGCAGAGCTTTTTAATTGTTACCCTTGATAGTGAAACTTTTTCAAAATTGCTAGAGGAGTGTGGAAAAATATGTAAAAAAGGCCAGTGCTGGTCATGCTACACTAAATTCCAATTTATTTGATTTCAGCTCCCTCCTGGACTTTTACTGAAACTTTAGACGAGTTTTTATGTTGAAATAATATGAAACAATCTTTGGAGAACAATGTTTGGAGTTTACAGTGTTTTTTTTTTTTTTTTTTTTTTAACCTTGGACATGTTGACAACCGCAACATGCTGTCCTACCTAAAAGACTTTATAGTACAAATCAACAAACAGAGCAGATTAACTGATGTGCTTCAGCGTATACTCTACCTCATGTAGGTTCTTGGCAGTGTTGGGAGTGACGTGTTATAAAAGTAACGAATTACTGTAATGCATTGCTTTTTGCTGTAATGCAGTAATGTAAGGTATTACAGGGGGAAAATTGTAATATTTTACTCGATACAAATGTCAGTAACACGCATTACAATGCTTTTTGAACCTGGATTGAAGTGGTCAGTTTTTCATATTTCTTCATGCAAATTCGCTAAAATCACCACAAGATTTAGACCTCAGCAACGGTGAAACGCCGGAGAAGCGCCCGTGTAGACCGTCAGGTAACCGTGGGCGAAAGGACTCAGAACTCGGCACTCCACGGCGCTAACCACAGCTAACGCCCGATTGCACGCCTCCAAGTTCTAGCCCAAGATTAGTCCTGGTTTAGTCCTGGATCAGTCCTGGTTCAGTCCATATACGGCGCAAAAGTTCAGCATCTTTACAGTTATTTTGGTGAGAATAACTTAAAAGTAATGCAATAGTAATGTAATGTCTTACATTTTCAATGCAGTAATATTGTAATGTAACAAATTACTTTGAAATGACAGTAATAAGTAATAAATCAGGCATTACAGTTTTAAAGTAACTTGCCCAACAGTGGTTCTTGGTGACCCTTGCAGGTACACACTCTACAGTATAACAAATCTACTCTACCTCAGAATACTTCATAGTGACCGTTGGAGGAATAGTAAGGATCTACATTCCTTAATGGTACATCTTGGTGACCCTGCCAAGCATCGTAAAGACGCTCTGTATGATACTTCTTGGTGACCTTGGTGGGCGCACACAGTAGTATAACAGGTACTCTACCTCATGATACTTCTTGGTGACCTTGGTGGGCGCACACAGTAGTATAACAGGTACTCTACCTCATGATACTTCTTGGTGATCTTGGCGGGCACACACTGACAGTCGTAGCCTCTATTGGAGCAGCAGGCGCAGTTGCCTCCACAGCGTTTGACCAAAAGACAGGAGGGCCAGAAGATCACATCTGTCCTTCTGAGCTCTTCACGCAGAGACACAGAGAAGTTTCTGGGAGTGCAGCTGTAGAGACGCACCTCCTCCCGCAGCAGGTTCAGGTCTGCTCCTATAGGAAAACCCAGACACACACACATATCACACTGGGATTCAAGGGAACACCAACATGTCCATTGGAAAGAACCACTGCTTTCACACAACACAATATTAACAGCTGTACCAGGACAAGGACCAAAAACTAACCAACAATTCAACCCAATAATGTTGTAATTTAGAAGAGGTGGGCAGAGTGCTACATTTTACTGTTGACATCTAGTTGCTGTGAAAAGTATATTGACCTTGAATGTTTCTTTTTGCCTACAACTACTCCTACTGTGAGTCTAGTAGCACTGACTTGATATACGATAACTTGTTCTTCAAATTGGTCTTCAGTTAGAAATTTTCAGCTCTTTGAGAAATATTACTTGAAGTCACAATTCTAGTTTTACATTATTATACAGTGTTACTCGAATTACACAAATGTTATTCATATTGAGAGATTGGATTATTTGTGTTTCTTGAACAAAGGAATGTTTACTTTTACGTTTTATGATGTATTCTTGGGAATATTTCCAAGTAGAGCTGAATGATCGTTTTGGACAGAAAACTGCGATCTCAGACAACATGATTTTGGGAGCATTTTTTTTGCAGTGCTCCTAAAGCCCAAATTAAGTGTGAAGTTTAGCGTTTAAGTTCTGCGTTGACTCAGTGCACACTGCCACTGTCGCTGTCATTTCTGATTAAGGATCTACATCAAGGTCTATGCGCCACAAAGTAATTCACCGCCACAACGTGAGAAGGCTTGATTTAAACTTGCCATTTGTGTAAAGTTTAACATGAACCATCTCGAACGCAATGCAAGCACAGAACAGACTCACCATCATCAGCACATCCTCTGTCACAGAAAGAACACTCATATTCCACTGAGTCGTGTCCTGTCGTCTGACAGAAACTGAACCGCATCAGGACAAAAGGAGTAAGCTGTTCTTTTTTAGTGCTTACAGTTTATGCAAATTAGCCATGTGGTTTTAAGTTTTGTTTTTGTAAAATGTAAACAAATGTACGCAAAGTTGCATTAAACACATTATTACTCAATGTATACTGAAAGAAAGGAAAGCGGAGTCAAAAAATGTATATAACGGTGGTAGAGAGGACCAATCACAGCCCTTATTGTCTGCGTAAATTGGGCTTTATGGTTTGTGTGATGTTTGCAAATGTTCATGTGCAATGAAACTTGATTTGAAAAAAAAAATAAATAAAAAATCATGGATGAAATCGAAATCATAATATCTGCCAGAAAAATCACAATTCAGTTTTTTCTTAAAATTGTTCAGCCCTATTCCCAAGTACATTTCTGGCATTTCTATCCATCTCCAAAACATAACAAAGCTATTTTAGGATCATGTGTGACAGTGTACGTTATGAGAAAGGGATTTTAGTGATACCAATTTACTCTGAACCTCTCTGCTTATCATAGTGAATACAGTTATATTATTGCATATTCCTTGGAGATGCCGTACCTCTGGCCTTCTTGTTGTGGATGAAGGACTTTCCCAGTGCATGCCAGGTAGGTCTGTACAGCTCCTCCATGTCCAGCTGCCACCTCTCAGGCTCCAGGTACTTGAGCACCTCCTCCACTGTGCGGAGTCCGGCGACTGCCTCTGTGAGCTCCTCTACGCCCTGCTGAGACGGAGGAACCACGGGGGAGGAGGCGGGCTCGGAGTCGCTCTGAGGAGAATCACAACAACAGAAACAATCTATTATGCAAATTATTTTAAAACGATTCAAATCATCACACATCTTGGGTGTATGGGGAAATTAAAATCTTGCTTTTGGTTTGCCAAGAAAGTAAATGACAAAAAATTACAAAATCAAAGAAAGAAAGTCTGTTTACTCAAGAGTTGTAATGCAGTGGGGGGTATGTATTAGTTATGTCAATGCCGGATGCTCTTCCCAATCATTGTCACAATCATAACCATACTTTTACGAAATGGGTAGGCCAATGTGGGTGAAGTGTCTTGCCCAGGGACACAACAACACGATGTAGTTGATCGCTCGAGTTGGTGGGTGAATGTTCAACCCAGACAACCTTTGCCCTCTCAAATTAAGGCAGTTAGAGCATAAAATATTATAAAATGCAACTCATGTCTTTCATTTAAATCAGGAGTGTCCAAACTTTTCTCATCAAGGGCCGCTTATGTAAACACTGACGAAACCGAGGGCTGAACGAAGGCCATATAACAGGTCAGAATGATTCACCAGACCACTCAAAAAGACACACTAAATACTTGAGATTTGGTTTATCAATGTAGATTTTCAAGAGACTCTTAAAAAACGTTCTAGTTAATGTTCCATTAAACACCAAAATCATTTTTTTATATATGTGAATGGGTCTAAAATAGAAATGTATACCTATCCCTGGTCTTAATTTGGCATTTTAGTGCATATTTGTTAAAAACTAGACTTTTGGGTCAAAGTCATGTCTGTAACAGCCTCTTTAGGATCAACTATGGCCAGTACATTTTATTTATTTTTTTATTCAGTATTTTACCAGGTAAGTCAGTTGAGAACCTGGCCAAGAGGCGAAAGCACACACAGAAAACACTCACACATCAACTATAACATGAAACAGTGAATAGAGATATAAGACAGTGAAACAATTGCAGATTAAAGATAAAAATGTTAAAAGCAAGTGCAATTATCCTGAAAAATACTCTGGGTGGGGTTTTTAAAAGTCGACAGAGGTAAAAACGAACAAAGTCTTAAAGTCTGTTGAAGGTGGTTCCAGTCACTTGCTGCAGAGAGCTGAAATGAGGAACGGCCCAAAGCTGTACGGGCTTTAGGAACGACCAGTGTTATGTATTTTTTGGAGCGCAGTGTGCGTCTGGAGCTGTGGATTTGAATTTCTGTTTTGGACTCACGGCCGCCAGTGAGTCAGATGCTGGTTATTACATGACGAGCACTGCCATTGGTGTCTGTGGGCGGTACGTGAGGAGACCCTGTCAGCCACGCTCCTACCTGGCACCGCTGGGCACCGCGATGTCCCGCCGTGTCTGGAGAAAAGGGAAACGTGTGATTCGAGCACAAACGTCTGCTCTGTTTTTAAGTCCGGAGCGCACCAGTCCGTGCTGTGTTGGATTGTTGTGGCTGTCAGTTGGCTGTCAATCATCGCTCCAAAGCTCGCCCCACACCCCCTGGAGGATTTTTCAAATTTTTCTTAAAGGCAGAGTAAACCTTCAGGATGGTGTTCAATGGTTCTTTAAGGAAATATGGGCCAATCCACCTGGAAGAATTGGTCTGAGGGCCGCATTTTACCCCCGAGCCATAGTTTGGACATGCCTGATCTAACTGTACTGTTGGGAAAAATGTTAAAATGTCTGGAATTCAGAGTTTTATCTAGATTATTGTAGATTTGGCCTATAAACCAAATCTTTTATAATCTAGTATAATCGCTCGTCAATAGAACAAGTCCCCTTTTATTCTAAATACAAACAAAAAACTAAACTAAAACATAAAACTGTTCTCTAAAATTTCAATTTCTATCATTTAAAGATGCACTACGTCACATTTCTGGTGGAGGGCCCCTCACATGCTTGTCTCCCTGGAGATGTTATTGCTTTGCTTGCAATATTTCACACTACGGTATTAAACATAATCATAACATTATTGACTCACTTACATTTGTTTTTATTGCTGAAAAACACCTTGCCTTGTTTTGATGTGATGATGTCACCTGTTTGTCTTCGTCTCTATGGAGATAGACAAGTTTAAAGTCATACTGGGGAACATTCAAGCAATAACATCTTCATGGAGGCAAGCAGGTAGCGTACTCTCCGCAAAAATTCAATCAAACGCAGCTTTAAATTAAATATGACTTGTTCTAGTGACATTTTTCCTTCACAAAATGCACTGAAATGCAGATAATATTGTTTTTTGTTTTTTTTTCGCATAAACTCCAACATATCTCGATATTTAAACCCTAGTCAACTATATGTGTCTCCGTCACCCTCACCAGAGTTTAATACCTGCACTGCTCTGTCCCTCCCCCTGAGAACAAGCTAATCTTACAGAGCCACAAGCATCTGACAGCTCTGAGTTTGTCCCACCTGTCAGCCTGAACCGCTGTAATCTCCTCATGACTGACAGGTGCAAGCCCACAGTGTCACAGGGGCAAACAATGCTCCCTGCACAGCCCTCACACACACACAGCGGCTGGCAGCTCTTCTAAAAGCTTTTGAGACGTTTGGAAATAAAAAAAAAAAAAAAAAATTGAGTTCCAGGAATGTCTTTCTTAGCTCTGATGACTTATAAGGCAGAATCAGAGAGGACTTCAGGGAGAAATAAGCTTTGGATAAATACGTCTTTTGTAACTGAAAAAGACAGGTCAAGATTTATATCAGGTCTAGAGCTCAACTTGATATTGTGTTGTGAGGTTTTTGGTTAAATTCCCAGATAGATGTTTGTAATGTTGGACCAAAGCTTGGAGCGGTAAATGGGACTGTTGTGGATAATGCTGTAATGACTGAAATTTGGTCAGGGCAAGAGGGTGCATTAAAATTGAACGAAATGTGAGACTGTCAAGGCAAAGTCCATAGAAAACAAATAAAAAGGAGTTGAGCCAAAAAGTAACAATTAGAGCTACGTGATTTGGGAAATTCTTGAGATATGCAATTTTATTTAGTGTTCTTTTTGACTAAACCATTTCAGTTATAAAAAAAAACAACAACAACAAAAGGTATAACTAGGCTATTTTTGGACATGATTGATTCGTTTTTAATTTAGAGTTTGTGCCAAGAGAGAAACAATAATCATACTACATATACCTTGTAAACAACAGAAAAACACATTTCTCAAAAAGTAGTGGGAAGAAGAAAACACTTATATGAACACACCCCTGTTTCTTATGTTCACTGATCACAGAACTTTACAAATATTTACATATAGTAAAATACATTTCATACTATAGTTGTACAAACTAATAATAATGATAAAGAAGGCAAAAAGTTTATAATCATATCAAAATAAGCAAAATGAGAATGAGAAAAATGTAAGGATTTTTTTTTTTTTTTGTGCAAACTAATAATAATGACAAAGAAGACACAAAATGTATCATTTGTTGTAAGTATTACTGTAAAATACCTTGAAAAACATGCATTACTGAGTGGGCTTGCCTCTCCACAGATCTGTTAAACAAGTGGCAAAATCACTGACCTCTGAGCCTCACTTGTCTTTGGTCATGGATCAGCTGTGTGTGCAAATGCAAACACATGAAAACTGTCTGCTCTGAATGCTCCATGATCATCATCAGAGCAAAAGGTAAAGATTGGTTTATTGGTTTAAACTCTGTTTATCTCATTTTACATGCAAACAGGAAACTGTACTTTTCCAGAATCTCCACTCTAACTGGAGTTTTCAGAAAGATTCTTTTTCAGAGGCGAATTCGCAAATGTCTCAGTTTTCAAAATACCCCTGTACGTGTAAACTCACTGCGACCCAGTCGCTCTGCTCGTCCTGACCACACCAGGACACAGAGGCAGCATGTAAAATGCACAGCTCCAGACCCTGCACCCTTTAGGGAGCACCACAACAAAATGTAATCAAAAGGTAAGATTTGTACAAATGCATTAAAAGCTTTGTCTTGATCCCAAATGACCCAGCCAGGTCAATGCAGTATTGGTATTTTTAATAGCAAATCCAGAGAAACATTTATAAACTTGACATATGAAATTGTCTTTTTGAGCTTTTAATCATGTTATATCATATTCTCATCTAAAAACATACCTACCATTGTACTTCTGTCTCATGCATGCCTTTAATCCTGATTACCAGGTCGGCTTGCTTTAAGCCATCAGAAATGCTCCATTAGAAATTTCCCTGGATTGTTGTGTCACAGGTAAAAACCCAACATCTCTGTTACATTATCGTCTGTCACTATTACAATCAGCGTGCTTTTCGCTAATTAAACTACTGCCCATCGCATCAGGATTGTGACGTTGTAATGTATTAAACAACAAGACAACAATATAACGAATGGGTTCAATATTACAAATTCTACAGTTTTACTCCCATCTGATGCCTGCAGGAAAACACAAATCGTATGCAGTCTATTTAGTCTTTCACACCCGTCCAACTTTTGCTTGCTTTGTCTTGTGTGTGATCAAAACACAGTATTCTGGGTGCACAGAACTGATCGTATCTCGTGGCACTGTAAACAAACATGTGAGCATCCCCCTCCCTCCCCCTGACTGATATATTCTTAGACAAAAGAGGAAAGTGTGGCTCTGATTGGTGAGACTTGACGCAACAGAAAACTATTAACAGCTTGTGAGTGTGACGATAGCGAAACACTCAATTAGCTTTAGCACGAGACGCCAAGCGAACCCTCCGAGACACATAAATACAGCAGCCAGCTTCTGTTTAATAGGACAGAGCACTACAGTTAAATGGACCTCCAGCATAAAACGTACTGGAGATGTCCAATGGAGAATTATATGTTTTTAATTGGTAAAACTCAACGCTTGTTTGTGGTAATATTTCCTTACCACATTTTTTTCCGTGCACATGCTTAGTTTTTGGTTGTTGGTGAGTCACTTCTCTTGAAAAGTGACAGTTCCAAAAGCAGTTTTACTAAAATTGTGAACTAAACTGTAATGTATTTGTTATGAATTCTGTCTCATCTGATTTTGTAGGAATTGTGTTGTGTCCCATACCTATTATTATTAACATTC